TCCATTAAGTAGTTATTTATAGGGGTTTTTTTCCCCCTCAGAGAAGTGTCTTAGGGATCACTGGGCCAAATCCTGAGAGGCAAGAGATGAGGCAATTTACCAGAGTGTGCTCACGTGTCATCCATGCTCAAATCATTCAAAACTTTCTGGATCACCCATGCCATTCATACAGCAAGTGTTTGGGATCAGCTCGACTGCTTCTGAGGCCACAGTGGATGCCACCAGCCACCTTCCTCAGAGGAACCAGGATCCCCATGCTAGGAATGCCCTTGCCAGACACCAAAAGGACAGGACAAAGCTGTATTGTTTTCCCATCTCTTTGGCTCTCTTGGCAGACAGAAGGGGAAAAGGACAATGGTGGTCACTGGGGCTCGTGCCAACTTTATCACCTTCGGATGTTTGCTGTACTGGTGCCACAGCCCTGGAGCTCTCCTTGCCCTTTGCACCCCAGCCTGTGTTATATCCAGAGTCCCCCACAGCCTCTGAAGGTCACAGCAGGACACACACAGAAGTGCAGATTGGTGTCTGAGCTAATTTGGGGAAAAGCATCACTATATTCCTGCAATGCTCATTTATCACATGGGGGTTATGCAAATTCTCGGCCTCCTGGGGCCAGGTTAGGGGTTGGATAACACACAAAGGTCTTCTCCATTCCAGGATTTTGTAGAAATGCCAAGTGCCCTAGTATGAGGTGTCAGATGAACCAGGAGGAAATTAGCTGCTGCTGCTAATGAGCCAACGTTCATTCATACAACATTCAGCAGCTCAAGGACAGGGCTGTGCAGAAGGGCAGGGTGGGAGCCACGCAGGACAGCTGACCTGATTTCTGAAGTCTTTCTGGCCAAGGGAGTTCTATTCAAGGGAAAGGATCTCCCTTGATCCAAGAGTCAAATACTCACAGATCTCCCTGAAGGCCTCATTTGTAAAATCATAGAATCTGGGAATGGTTTGGGTTGGGAGGGATCTTAAAGCCCATCCAGCTCCATCCCCTTCCAGGGACAGTGACACCTTCCACTAGCCCAGGTTGCTCCAAGCCCCATCCAAACTGGCCTGGAACACTTCCAGGATGGGGCAGCCACAGCTTCTCTGGACAGCCTGTGCCAGTGCCTCACCTCCCTCACAGCAAAGAATTTCTTCCTAAAAGCATATTGGGATCAGCCCAGCACAACCAGAGCCAGATTTAAGCTAAGGCAAATAGTGAAGCGTCATGGGAAACTCTGCAGGGTTTCACCACATTGTTTGGAAGTAAACAAGCCCAAACCCCTCTTTCTTTAAAGGAGCCACACTCCTCAGATTGATGTGGCCCAAGACTGATTCCTTTGTGATCTGCAGCCCGGACCTTTAATTCTCCCTGTGTTTAAACCAAAATAAGTGCTAGGCAAGCAGGAGATTTCAATGTTTTGGCACCCTGCTGTCCCCAGAAAGCCTGACTGCTTCCAGACCTAGTGGCTACATCTGTGGATGCCAGGAGGAAACACAAACAAAAAAGTTTCCATGGGTGTGGGGACCAGGTAGAAGCCAAGGAGACAGAAGGGATTTCAGGAGAAGGAATAAGCAGACATCTTAAAGAAAGGGACAGGAAGGAGAATATGAAGAACCACCCCATTTCTCGTCCTGGGCAGCTTCTGGGACCTCACGTGAATGGCGTCATGAGATAAAATAGAGGCACTTTGTTCTAGTTCTGTGACTCTTGGAGGTAATGCAGAAATTCCCCCAGGGAAAATCAACAGAGGGAGGGGAAACATCTGCATTTCTCCCTGTCCCAGGGCTTGCTGCTGTCTGGAAAAGGCTGCACATGGCTGAAGGGACCTGTGCTCTCTACACTCACTGCGTATAGGAGATCGAAGTTGGCCTATGCAGAGCTCTGAGGTTTTGACCAGTCCCAAAATTTCTAGAGGCTTCTCCAAACATTTTCTCAGAGGTGCATGCTGAGATATGTGATGTGTGCAGCTTCTTTGAGCTTGGAAGAAGGGGCAAAGGCATTGGAGGGGACCCCAGAGAGTCTGAGGGCAACCAACTGCAGCCCTGACCACTGCTACAGCTCCATGGGCTGTTCTCCTACCAGGAACACAGCCCTGTGCTAGCCTCCCTCTGGAAACCTCATCCCCCTGGTATTCCTTCTCTTCCTCATGGACTGCCAGCTCCTGTTGCAGCTCTGCACCCTTCCTCTCAGGGCTGGAGATACTTGTCTGTCCTAATGTAAAACCCCTTTGTTCCAGACCACCCACTTCAGCCTTTTGCACTCCCATTTTAAAAGGAGGGGATGGGATGTCTTAAAATCCAAATCTGTCTCCATCCCACATGGATGAGGTGTTCTCATTTCCATTAGTGTCATCTATTTACACAAGGAATGCTTGGGGAAGGAATTGAGGTTACTGAGAGAAATAGAGTGCCTCACATCAGCCCTGAATCCCTATGGGATGCACTGCCTGTGCCCTGCCCCAGACCTTGCCCCACATTCCAAGTAGGACAGGCTGCAATTAAAGCACCCAGCAAACAGAAAATGCCACTGAGCCTTCAGGTGGGAAGTGGCCATGCTGCAATGTTAGTTCATTTATTCAAGGTCACTCTGGAATGGCTGAGCTGGGCTGCATGTCTGAGGTCCTTCCCCCTCAGCTATGCTCACTCCACCTCCGAGTTGGGGCTGGTGGTGTATGAGACACCAGCTTGGAGAGCTGCAGTCTCCATTAATGCCTTTGCCATCTCTCCCACCAGTAAATTAGCGTTCCCACCGTTTCTACTTCGGAACAGCAGCCACTTCAGGGCTACCAGGACTCAGCCAGAGGCAAAGCACAGGGCAGCCACGGGCAGAGATACAAGGTGTGAAGTACTTGGGTGTCCTGCCAAGCTCACGGCACTACTCAGCCTTAGAGAGTGTTAGACAAGTGTTAAAAAGCTTTGGAAATCAGCTTGAATACAGGCTCCAAATGAGAGCAGCAGCTCTTTCCACGTTTGCTGTCTCTGGGATATCTCTGGGTACTCAGCACGCTCCTGCAGCCGTGGGCAGGACTGCACCAGTGCTCAGCCCTATGTACCATCAGGAGCTCGATTTAAAAGCTCTTCTCTTGGCCAAGGAGAAAGGTGAAATCCCTAAGGTAAATCCCAAGGAAAGGCAGTGCTTGTTCTGGAGAGACACCTGCTGGCAGTGCCCGCAGTGCGCGAGCTGATCCTAACTCCTTCTCCCGTGGAAGCCAAGGAGAAGTCAAAATATAACAGATGCAGGGGGAATCTGAGGGGAAAAGCTCACACTTCCAAGGTGGAAGCCAAAGGGGAATCATGCTGCACACCTGCACGTGTCCCAGGCCCTGATTCCAACTCCATTTTTCCATCTGCCTGACCCAAACCAGGGCAGGTTGTGGGAGTTAGAGCACCTGACAGACACTGAACGAGGAAACAGTGCCAAAGACTCCTGGAATGGTTTAGGTTGGAAGGGACCTTAAAACTCATCCAGGTCTACCCTTGCCACGGGCAGGGACACCTTCCACTAGCTCACATTGTTCCAAGCCCTGTCTAACCTGGCCTTGAACACTTCCAGGAGTGGAGCAGCCACAGCTGCTCTGGGCAACCTGTGCCAGCACCTCACTGCCCTCACAGAGAAGAATTTCGTCCCCAAATCCAATCTAAATCTCCCGTCTTTCAGCTTAAAGCCATTAAAACCCAGAGTCCAATATACCTGAGAGGCTGGAGCTGGTTCAGTCATGGACGGGTTTTAACCACCCTCCCTGCCAGCACTCCGATTTTAGGACAGCCAAAGAAATGCCAAATTCCTACTAGATGTGAGGTAAAGCAAAGGAAGTTGAAACAGGAGCATTCCAGGGACTAGAGGGGCTGGCCCCAAATCCCATCCCATCTGCAGGACAGATCTAGGCATGAAGCTGCATGTTACCCACAGGGACATTGGCAGGAATCCTGGCAATCGGTGCCTCTAAGGTATGTTAGCTCCTGGCAGCTCACCTCTTCACCAAAACATCTTTTTTTAATGCATTTGAAAACTGGTGGAATTAGTGTCCATGTGGACATAGATTTTCTAGGTGCCAGCCTCAGTAATGTGAAGTTTGTTAAATGAGGCCACATATTCCATGTTCAAAGAAAAGGGGAAACAAGACAGATGCCAACACCTCTGAGAAGGCATTAAGGAGAGCTATGAGTAACCACAAGTAAACTAAGATCAATATGCACTTCTTTAAAACCCAAGGATGTCCTCTCTTGGCCTGGGGGATGTTTCCAGCCTGGATGCTCCAGGATTCCTTTGGGCCTGGACAGTTTCTCCGCTACTATTCAAGCAAAGCATTTATAAGGAATTCCTGGGCCAGGGCCAATTGAACAGCAAGTAAGAGCTGGCAGGGTAAATTCTTAGAGGATTATGTTCAATAGCCTCATGGAATTTCAAGCAATTTTTTCTTAATTACTCCTTACAGCTGCTTTCCAGTAAGAAATGCAGGAAGTAATGGGGATTTGTTGCCTCACAGAAACAAGGATTTCTGGCTGATCCCAGCAGCCTTTCCTACCTGTAACAACAGCCTTTACTGTGGCTTCCCAGGGAATGCAGGAAAGGAAACTGAAAGTACCCAGTAGCACAAAGGGCTCTTCTGGAGGACGAGTCAGAGGGCTGTTGTGTCCAAACTGGTGGGTTGTGGTTAGACTTTTCCTTCTGGCCTCCTGCCAGCCTTCTCAAGCCACTCCTCACCCCCCCAGCCCTCTCCCAAAAGCTTTCCTAACCATTCCTTGTCTGGGGCTTTCCTTTACACTATGTTTCATTTGCTGCACAAACGGTGCTGACCCCCAGGAACCAAATTAGCAGCAGCACAAAGGGATATAATTTGTATTCTATACACTCAATCTGCCAATCCTTCTAAAAAAAATTAGTATCTCTTATTATTCCCAATATTCCAATCGAAGCTGCAAGCTCAGAGACTGCCACAGAGACTGCAGAGCTGTAATTCTCAGACCCTCATACACAGACAAACAATGAACACTCGTTTTCTTCTATTTTTTTACAGAACAAAGGAAAAAATACTCCAACTCCAATGTCATCATGCACGAGACTTCCCAGTACCACGTCCAGGTGAGCACACCACGGAGTGTTCAGGGGCTGAGAGGCCAAGGTCACTGATAGGTGCTGGTAGTGCAGAGAGTTTCGTGTGTCCTGGAGCTTCATGAGGCCAAAGAAGAGTTGAGAATTTCCTTACAATTAAAGTCTTGAGTAATGGGTAGAGGAGAATGGGGGGCTGGGAAGTGTTAAAAAGACAAGGGAATTCTGCACAAGGAAAGAGGAAATGCACAGCACAGACAGGTTAAAAGCAGAGTTCCTGTGCTGGTTACAGGAACTCATCTGCCCAAACAACAGAGACTACATCCACTATCAACTTTCAGCTCTCCCCGGCTACTGTGTCCTCTCAAGTAACTCAAAACCCTTCACCCATGACAGGCAATAAGCCAAACCCATCTCCCAGTGTCACAGACATCTAGTCCAAACCGGGGAGCCAGCCTGGCCACGCTGGGCTTGGCCATGCCTGTAATGCAACACGCTGGGACAGGCCACCATGGGGACAGAGGTGCCTGTCTGGGGCCAGCTGGGCCACTCAGCACTGAAAACTGGGCAAGGTGAGGCAGGGAAACTCTTCATGAGGTTCATATCTAGCAGATGGGGCCCTTTGAAAGTCTAAAGTTAGACTTCTAAAATGCCTGTTTGGAAAGAGGTCCTGGTTTCCGTCACAGAAACTATCTCAATGTCTAGTTGCCCCATTGGTGGCCCTGCCAGCTGCCCCATCAGTCAGGGAGGCAGAGAAGGGACTTTAAACAGTGACATGGAGATGAATTCTTCATTAATGATGCTGCATGCCACCCACTTGTGAGTCTCTCCCCTGAACTTTGACCAAGGCAAACAGGACTGCAGTGGCAGGCAATGAGGTTTCCTCACAGGAGGCATTTTATACCCTTTGAAGGAATCTGACCAAGGTTTATTGGTGGATGGACTCGTTGCCCGTTCTGAGAAAAGCTGCTCTATGTGAATATAGATGTTTTGATAAGGTAAAGACAGCAGCCAAGCTGCTCCCCCCCAGTATCTAAAAAAAATGGCAAATAAATAATACTCTAATGAGTCTGAGTCAGACAAGCAGCTTTTTCCTCCACAAAAATTAACAGTAAACAACAAAGGAATTTATGAAGCTTGTCAAGCTGGTGATTAAAATACTAGAAGAGAGAAGAATTCCCATCATCCTGTGCAAACCAGTTCTCCTCACTGCTCTGAAAGCAGAGAGCTTGTCACCTCTGCACAGATAATATTGACTCTGCAAATACCTTTTGGTGAACCATTTTACAATTACAGTAACATACACCCCAGTGTGCTTTTCATACGTGATTGCATGGCTAATCTCAGCTCACACACCTGCCAGGAGCTTTATTTAGACAGTGCCTCACCCCATACCTGTGCTTTATGAACACAGGAATGGGTCTTGCACCCTACAGTGTTTGTGTTCTTCTCTGCTCCTTCCTCCAGTCCTTGTGAATTATCTAACAAGCCCTACCAACCCCGGATTCCCATCAGCATGTTTACAGACTCAGCCCTTTCTGTCAGTCAGTGATTAAAATCCAAGCCTTTCCCTGCATCCACCTTGTCTGGAGCTAATTGCAACAACAGTTCTTGCCTGTGCTTCATCACAGCTATCCAAGGCTCCATGCTCCAAGTGCACACATTCCCCTCAGATCCATCCAGTCTGTATCATACCCCAACATTCATTCCTTCCCTTCTCACTAGGAACACAGCTGCCAGCAGAAGGAACAAGATGAAACAGGATCATTTCCTTTTCCTTCCAAATTTTTTCCCTTCCCTGTTGTCACCTGAACACGCAGCCTGGCTGTGCAGTCACTGGCACAGGGACAGCAGCTCAGCAAACAGCCCAGCTGCTGAGTCCCAGCTTTTCCTGCCCTGCAGTCCCCTCTGCTGGCAGGCACATCCAGTTCTCCCATCCACCAGGAGCAACGCTTGCTCTCACCTGCTGCCGAGCAGTCAGCTGGATTTTTGGAGTGGCCTTCACACACTGCTAGGAGATGAACACCGTTTGGATGTGACACGTTTCTCCTTTCCACAGCTGACTCCCTGCGATTCCCTACCCAGCATTCCCTTCCCATGGAGCAGGGATGGGAAAGCATTTTGGATGGTCACACCTCAGCTAGGCTGCAAGTGCACATACAGGGCAGCACAGGAGGGGAGGACAGTGTGGAAGCCAGGCTGGTGGTGGGAAGAGCCCTGGGCTGGGTATGTAGGACAGGTGAAGGCAGGTAGGAAAAACCGGATAATCTAGCAAAACCACAGTGCAGGACAGAGACAGGCAGCAAAAAAATCCCTTCTTACAATCAGCAATGTCAATTTGCACCACCACAAGGGTTGCTTTGGGTAAGTTTAGGGGAAAGGTAACACTAACCCTGAGGGGAGATTAACGGTGTAAGAGTCATCTCGCAGGTTTGGAGCTCTCTTTCAGGCATTGAGGAACGGAAGCTCTCTGGAGCAGCTGTCCCCATAGCAGGGTACCCCACACGTTATGGGGATCCCACTTGGCACAGAGAAGTAACACTTGCCCATGACTTGCATGAGCTCCTTGCCTGGTGCATACCCCACACAGGCAGGTGTGCTACACGAGACAAGTACATTGCAAGTGCTTTTACCTTGGCAAGTGAAGCTTCACTGCTGTATTTAAACCTCCAAGCCAGTTTCAGAACAGCCATGGGAGTAACTCATGTGTATGAAGCATTTGCACTGCTGGACAGCAGCCAGAGCTGCTGAAATCAATAGGATGAGATTAATATGCAAGTGGTGAAACTGGTTATGAAAAGCCGTTGCGAAACCCAAATCTTTTACTGCCATGGCCAGGCTGGTACCAGCAACCAGAACTGCTTTGTGCAGCAACTCCTTCATGCCTGAGCCCTGAAGAACTACAAGCAGTAGTTGAAGCCTTTAGCGATGCTTTCACCACTGATTTACACACACCATCAAACATTTTTCACCTGTTTTTTATTCCTTTCCCTCCCCAACTTCAGCACTTGGCCACCTTCATCATGGACAAGAGTGAGTCCATCGTGACAGTGGATGATGCTATCCGGAAACTAATCCAGCTCAACTCCAAAGAGAAGATCTGGACACAGGAGATGCTGCTGCAAGTGAATGACAAGTCCATCCGGCTGCTGGACTGTGAATCACAGGTACCCAGAGCTCTGTGAGGGTGACCCACAGACTGAAAGGGTGCAGTGGGTGACCTTCCTGTTCTGCCTGGAACAGGGCAAGTGCTAAGGAACCCAAACAAGGGCTAATCACTGCCAAAATCCACTCCTGGGTTAGAGTCATCTCTGCAGCATGGGAGAGGGGTGGTTTTAGCAATGACAAGCTGAAGAATATCAGCCCAGGAGTTCCTGCACAGGATGATTCGCTTTCAGTCCAATAATTCCCTATTGCCTGACCTTTGTCTCCTTCTCTTCTAGGAGGAGCTGGAGGACTTCCCTCTGCAGACAGTGCAGCACTGCCAGACCGTGCTGAATCAGATGCGCTATTCCTCCATCCTCCTCCTGGTGTGCCAGGACTCAGAGCAGCACAAACCTGACATCCACTTCTTCAACTGTGACGAGGTGGAGGTGAGCAGAGCCTTCCTCCTTGAACAAAATGTGTTCCTTGCTGTCTGCCAGCCCCTTCTTCCTTTGCCCTCTTTGAGCCCTCAATCCTTCCCCAATCCAAGCCTTTAAAAACATCTCTGTTTTCTCTTTGAGGCGGAGATGGTCCATGAGGACATAGAAAGTGCCCTGGCAGACTACAAGCATGGGAAGAAGATACGGCCACAGACACTCAAGTAAGTGTTGCAGAATACAGCATGGGAGTATCCCACGGTGTATTAACACTCCAGTCTCTTGGAAACAGGAGCGGCAGCCACTAGGAGGTTGTTCTGTGTCATTGCCTTTGCAGAGCAAACCAAGAAAAGATCAAGCAGAGACAATCCATCCTCCCCCCACCGCAAGGACCAGCTCCCATCCCAATCCAGCACGACACGCGAGGCTCAGCGATGAACAGGAACCGGGTGGCACCTCCTTCCCAGTATGAGCCAGGTACTGGGAGCACTCTGCAAGTCTGTCCTGCAATGGGAGACTCATTAACCCAGACAGCTAGCCCTCCTGAAGTGGGCTGTTGTGGAAATAACAAGTGCTATATGCACTGGGCTGGCAGGTGGCATCTTCTGCTCAACACCAAACCTACTAGAAACTGCTTGCAACAACACCTGTCATTCAGGGATACTGAAATTCCCAAAATAAGCAAAAGGCCCTCATAAAACTGAGCCATCACATGAAGTTTGAACCAGGCTCTGGTGATCTGGTACAGACAAGACAGACCTGGTCAGAAAGGCAAATTCCTGTCTCTCCTGACCTCACAGGAGCCAAGACTTCATCCCTAGAAATCAAATGGTTTCCATGAATTCTCCAAGAAACTCCAAAACACTCCTTTCCCCAGGATAGGATCTGAAGCCAAGCACCTGCTCTGACTCCCAGACTCAGGAGAGGTTATTTCAGGTCCCGTTGTGCATCATGAAAGGAATATCTGTATCTCTGAGCTGGACCATTATAAACATCTATACCGTGATGCAGAGCAGCTACCCTCACCTCTGCCCTTCCCAGGGTGCTCAGCACAGAGCTGAGCTCACACTGCTTACATCAGCAGAGCTGGGCAGTTACCCAGGCAGGATTTCTGGATCTGAGGGCACATGAAAGCAGATGACAGGAGAAAGCCTTGAGTGATGCCTGTTTGCTGAGATTGCTTCTCCTACAAAACACACGTTATTGCTTTTTCTGCAAAACCTGTCAAAACTAATCACTTCATCTCCACACTTAAAAACAATGTGTATTTTTCATGGTCCTTTGCCAAAGCTGCTTCCCCAGGTCTCCTGTCAGTACATCCTGCTGTGTTGGCCCTTTCAAACCCCATTTCACTGAGCTGACAGGTTTTTCTTTTCACAAGAGGCCACCCCAGCAATTGTTCTCACTGAAATATCCCCCTGTCCCCGAGTATGTGTCTTCTGGAAGCTGGGAGGTGCCTGTGGGTTGGGTTTTTTGCAGGATGATTGTTTTTAACACCTATTAAAAACACTTGAGAGACTGCACACGAGTTTGTATAAAAATGCTGATTTGTGCACTGGCCTGCCTGAATATCCATCATGCAGAATTCCTGGCATGCTGCTTTCCAGCCCCTCCAGGGTGTATTTCTTCCTTTTCAACTCCTATTTGGTTAAACTGGAACCTCTGGGAGAAGAAGGGCTCCTGTGGAGAGCTGGAGGATTAGAAGAGAGGGTGAGAGTTAATGTAATCACACTTTATATCTGGTTCTTCAGCTCCTCAGCATAGATCCATCAAAGACACAGGAGTTGGTGACTCATAGCAGCTGGAGACTGGGGCTGGCAGGTCTCTGCAGGCTGCTCCTTATGATACACTGAAAACAGGCAGTGTGCCGACACAGGGGTTGGCAGGCAGGTGCTGTGACCTTGGAAGTTTTAATCAACAACTTTGATCATCACCTGCTTGTGGTGATCCTCTTAAGTGCCCTCCTAACCCAGAAAAAGCACCCAAGCTGAAAGTTATCACAGTGTGGGCCTTTACTGGAGCCTGTTTTCAACCTCTGATAGTGAGTATCTTTTCCTCTCCCTCATTTGCAGACTATGACCGACGAAGCTCTGGCTCCCATGACCACGAAGAGTCCCGAGCCATATTAGCACAGAAGATTGAAAAGGAAACGGTGAGTTACAGGAGCAGTGCACAGCCCATAGGCAGGAGGAGAGGGAGAAGAGATGCAGGGAGTAAGGGGCTCCTCTGTGAGCATTTAATGCATGATCTGGTCATTCTCCAAACTGTGACCAAAAGCCAAGCTCCATCACTGGGTCAGTTACAACATCCTCTGACCTGAGGCAGCTCTGCTGATTCCAGGTCTGCTCCTCCCCAGCCCACAGCCCAGTCTTGGGTTATTTTCCAGCCATCCATTAGCAGGGGTCACTTGTCACATTGATAAGTACAGCACACAGCCAGGCCCAGCTTTGTGTTTGGAAAGTGATGAATTCAGCACCATTTCATGGCTGGACTGGCAATTCTGTGCATTCTTCCAGGAAATGCAGCAGGCTCTGGGATTCGGGCTCCCAGCTGTGTGTGGCCTGGGCCCAGTTTCACCTTGGTCTGTTGGGTTTCTGTCCTCACAGCAAATCCTGAACTGCACTCTGGATGACATTGAGGTGTTTGTCGCTCGGCTTCAGAAGGCTGCAGAGGCATTCCGGCAGCTCAACCAAAGGAAGAAAGGGAAGAAGAACAAGAAGAAAGGGCCAGCAGGTACAGTAGCTGGAACAAACACAGGGGCATGGATTGGAGTTGGGGGGACACCTGAGCTCACATCCCAGCAAGGCCAAATGGATGCAGCAGCCACACCAGTTGGAAGGTGCTCCTGGTCCATGGGGACCTGCTGTGGAGCATACAGCCTCGTGAGGCTTCCAACACACAGAGAGACATTTGGCTTTCCTTGAATCCTTGATTTTGAGTAGTCCCAGTCTTCAGAAGCCATTATTGCTGTCTTCTGCCTGCCAGCATGATGAAGCTTTCCCAAAGGGATGCTGTAACTAACATGTCCTTCTCCACACCTTCTCATGGCAGAGGGCATGCTGACCCTGCGAGCAAGACCCCCAGGCGAGGCCGAGTTCATCGACTGCTTCCAGAAGACCAAACTGGCTTTTAACCTCTTGGTAAGGCACAGGGGAAGGTCCCATCCTATGCAGTGTCAGGGAGAAAGTATCCCAAAAGAAAGTCTTTGGAGTGAAATTTGAACTGGAAACACTACCTAGGGACAAAGGTGTGAAGTCCAGGTGCTCCAGAACACAGGACAACATTGTGTCAGGCTCATGCAGGTTTCTTGGGCCAAATTGTTCAACCAAAACTAAAATGAAGTCCAGGATGGGATTGAGCAGCCAGAGGGTTGCAACACCTCAGTCTTTTCAGATCCAGGCCTGGGAAGCCTCTGGTTGACAATAACTGACAACTCCCATTGCCCTCATATTCCTGGCTTCTCTCTTTCTCCCCTGGAAGACCCTCTGTATTAAGAAGGGAATGAAAAGCAGGAGCATAGAGATGTTCCCAGTGCTGCCAGCTCTGCTTAGTGAAGTGTGTGAGACCAGAAGGAATTCTGTCCCTTCTGACCAAACTTTCCCAGCAAACACATCCTATAAGATCCTTCCCAAGAAGTTATTAGTAAGGAAACCACAGAAATTGTAAAGAACCTTAGTGCAGAACACCAAGCCCCAGTGTTTTGAAGCATATATGAATAATTTGTGCCTGTTGGGGATCAGAAAGAGCAGCTGATCTCCAGACAAGAGCCCTGGTTGAATGCAGAGGAGATTTGGGAGAGAGAGCTGGGAATTCATGGTGGAGCACTGCCACGTTACACAGCACATGGCTGCAAAGTCCTTGTGAAGTGCCATTTCACTTAGTCAGGTGTTGCCATCAGTTGTTTCACACTTTCCACTCCACATTAATGTTTAATCACCAGCATTTAAAATGCTTTGCATTTCAGTAGGGAGGACAGAGCCTGTTTTCCATGGCCGCAATGCCAGGAGCACAGGACACAAGAAAGAGCTGAAAGGAAGCACAGACTGAAGTGGTTTCTCCCCACAGCCCAGCTCATTGCTGCTAATGAAACCCAATCCTTTCAGTTAATTAATCCTAAGAGTTTTCTCCTCCATTCCACCACAACTTACTCCAAATACCATTGGATTTGGAGCATTTCAGTGGCCAGGGCAGCTCTGGGTGCCACAGGCAAGACGCTGGTGGAGAGTTTTCCTTGTCAGCACTTTGTCAAGGGACCCTCAAAACACTTGCTGTGTTGTTTTCCCTTACTGGAACAGTGAGATTTTCAGCTCTGCAAGAGGCCTTCCCTCACCAAGACTTTCAAAGTAAGCCAAGTTTTTCTGCATCTGCTAAAAATTGCTTCAGAGACTGGTGGCACAGGGCAGGTATTCCAGCCCTCTAGAAATTCCTCAGGAATTAGAAATGGGCACAAAATAAAAATGAATTATTCCTCCTCCCCAATCACTTACTCATCAGCCAGCAGCAATCCCTCCATGTGACAGAAGACGCTTAGGTTAGGGTTAAACTGTTTCCTTTCTCTTTCCAGGCCAAACTAAGGAAGCATATCCAGAATCCCAGCGCTTCAGAGTTGGTGCATTTCCTATTTGGGCCTTTGGAAGTGGTAAATCCTATTCCCAGATCATACTGGGAACTCACTTTTCATTTCTAATTCACACTTACAAGGAGATAGATGTGCAGAAGGGCTAGAAAACTGCTCACACCTGGCTACAGCTTTCTCAGGAACATCCAGAAGCAACTCTGGTTGTTTCCAGCATCTGATCCAATTTCCAGCTTGAAGTAAACACACAACCCCCTGCAAATACAAATCTTTCTACCCCATTAATAAAACCTCACTGTGAACAAAACTGCCAACCAGCTGTGGTTCTCATTGGGAATCTGCCTGATCTCACCTTTAGGCAAACATGGCTCAATATTTGCATTGAAAATAGGAAGCAGAAATCCCAACTTGGAAAAGGAGCCAGAAAGGACAGAGATATAGCAGGATATTTCGCATTTTTTGAAGTGACAGTTTGTGATGTATCCTATCACCAACCGCAGCTCATTTTTAGATCAGACCTTGCCTTGACTCCTGTCAGAAAATTCCTGTCCCTCCAAACTGTCCAGTGTCCTTGAAAGACTTAGGCTGTTGTTTGTTGAGATGACTGAGCTGATCTAAGGCTCAGCTTTGTCTTTGATTTCTGTTCCTTTGGTTTGATGCTTTGTCAGTTTCCTGCGAATCTCTCATGTTTGTGTGTGTTTGTGTCTAATGCAGATCATCACTAGCTGTGGTGGCCCCGAGCTTGCCAGGTCTGTTGTCAGCCCACTTCTGTCTAGAGACGCCACAGATTTCCTCAGAGGACACCTGACACCCAAAGAGATAAACCTCTGGGAATCCCTGGGGGAGACATGGACCAGATCCAGGTGAGGACACAGTTCCCAGCTCACCAGGATCCCCAGGCAGAGGAGGTGCTGGATGCCCTGTTGCTCCTGCTTCTCCCTGACATGCCCTCAGAGACACATTGCTTGTGAAAGTTCACCACGTGTTCCCACTTCATGTCCTAGAGCTGAGTGGCCCCGAGATGCAAACATCCCCACCTACATCCCCAAATTCCGCAACGGCTGGGAACCACCCATAGAAATCTTCCGTGGAGCTCCCTGGGAAATCGACATTGGACACTTGCAAGAGGAGGTTAGTCCTGTATCCCCAGTCACCCTCTCTTCTTTTGCTTTTCTCCCTCCCTCCCCATTTTCCGGAGAGATGGGTCTGTGGGGTTTGTGGTGCTGTGCAACATGTTGTCAGTTGGATCTGGTCACTGCAGTTAAATACAGAAGGAAAATCAGGCCAGAGAAGGGTGGCAGTAGTCAGCCTCTCCTGATCAAAGGCAGTAGGATACTACACTGCGATTCTGCTCCATGGATAGAGGTTTGCCTGGGGAACATTTTGGTGTGCACCTCATCGTGACCAGAAGCTTCCAGCCACGACTCATCTACCACTGTCCCTCTCCTTTTCTCTGATACAGCTTTCCCCTTTCCTGTTAATGCTGACTCCATGTCTGCCTTTCCAGCTCTCCTCAGCCAATGGATATCCGTACCGGAACTCCTCACTGAAGACTGAGCAGACACAAGCTGTGGATGCCTTCAAACAGAATGTCACTCAGCATGTAAATAGGTGATGTATCCTATCCACACCACCCAGTGCCTCAGTCTCTGCTCAGAACCTCATGGGCACACGTGGACACATATCCAACACAGGCATGTCTGGGCATCTGTGCTGGTTTGAGCTGAAGTAGGGTTAACTTTCCCTATGAAGCCTCTATGAAGAAAATTAACTCTACTTCAGCTCAAACCAGCACAGCATCCTGGAGACAACTCTGCCACTACTAATAATCTTCAGGAAAGCCAGGATCAGGCGCCAAAGATGCTGCACTGCACTTATGCTCTCCATATCTTTAGAGACCTTAGAATCCACTAGCCCAGGTTGCTCCAAGCCCTATTCAATCTGGCCTTGAACACTTCCGGGGATGGAGCAGCCACAGCTTCTCTAGGCAACCTGTGCCAGTGCCTCAGCACCCTCACAGGGAAGAATTCCTTCCCAATATCCCATCAAACCCTCCTTCAGCTGAAGGCCATTCCCATTGTCCTTTCACTCCATGCCCTTCTCCAAAGTCCCTCTCCAGCTCTCTTGGAGCTCCTTTAGGCACTGGAAGGGGCTCTAAGGTTTCCCCAGAGCCTTCTCTTCTCCATGCTGAACATCCCCAGTTCTATCAGCCTATCTTTGTAGCAGAGGTGCTTCAGCCCTCAGAGCATGTCCATGACCTCCTCTGGACCTGCTTTAGGATCTCTCTGCTCATCCTAAACCACCACAGCTTGCACAGACAGAACCTGCACTCAGGCAAGGGCACACACAGGCCTTCTGCTGTGGAAAACACAGTGCTGGGAAAGAGCAGCCCAACCTCCACAGCACTGCATGGAAAACAGTTTAGCTGAGAGAGGAATTTTGTTTCACTGCTCCTCTTTTTGCTTTAGACACAGCCACAGGGAAAAACACCGATTAGAGGCTGAATAAAACAATATGTTCTGCTCCTGCACACCTCTCCATCAGGAAACTGACAGGGCATTGATTCCAGACAACTCTTCTTAATAAGATAAATCCTGAAAATGTGGGAAAAATCATGCCCCTTTCTTCAGAAGTCTTGGAAAATTCAGTTCCCAACCCTAAACCAACCAGGCCATCCCTTTGCCTCAGGTTTTCTTCCAAGAGGGATCTTCCCTCTTTTAACTGCCCCACTGCTTATTTTCCATCACTACTTAGTGATATAAAACCTTCATGAAAGCCCTTTTTACTCGAAGTTCAGAGACTCTTCATTCACTTGCTCATTTCCATGAGCTCATCCCTTGGAAATTGTCACAAGATCTCCAAGTTTCACCAAACTCTTCCCAAATTCCACATGAACTCTCTGCCATACTCTGCTTTGCAGTGATTTGACACCAAGTTTACATGAGAAGATTTAAGTCTGATTTTAATAACTGGCAGACAACACATGTAGAGAAACATTTCCATCTCTGTCAGCACAGGCAAACTATAAACAGCAGTATGGATCCTTGGAATAGGAATTATCAGGGTGCCTTAGGGCAAGGTGACATCTCCTGAGACACCGCCCAGTCTCATCGCAGCATGGGCTCATAAAGCAGATGAGGATCTCTCTCCTCCTGGGATAAGTGTTGCTCCTGTTTACTGTAAACAACAGCAAGTTTTCCTTATGGATAAAGAAAATAATAATTGAAAAACAAAAATCAAAGTTAATGCACTGAAGCAGATGCTAAAACTGAGGATGTGCTTAGCCCCTTCTCCAGCACTGAGCAAACCTCAGCAGAGCCTGCCCAGATGTTTGCCAAGATCACAGTCCCGGGACAGATATTTCCCAGCTGTACTCATGCCTTTTCAGAGTAGTTTGAAGTAGTTTTCTAGCCCAGAGACCCTGAAAATACCCACACATCAGTATCAGTTATTTACAGCAGGGCTCTGGGCTGCACAGAAGTGTCATGAAAGCCCCAGGCAGTACCACATTCAGCACAGGTCGCTTGTGCCCGATCCAGGTGCACATCATGTACACATTGGCCTCAGACTCCTCCCTCGTGACTCATTTACCTTCTGGAATGCGCCAAAAGTAGTAATTTCGACCTAACTCAGGCTCTCCTCCCCCTCCCTGCCTTCAGGGCACTGCTGGGCAAGGCCACTGCTCCCTTTGTGGACTGCTGGTTTCAATTTGATTGCTTCAGGCTCCCCCCACTGCGGAATCACAGCTCTAATATTACACAGGGGTGTGACTAGACCTAAGTCAAGTGAACCAGAGACAACACTGCAGCCACAGGTGCAGCATCAAACCAACCCTAAGCAAAAAGATCCATGGATAGAGCATCGAAACAGTTCCTACCTGCCCTTATACACAAGGCAAGACACTTTTCCACACAGCAAACATTTTAGGCATTAAAATTAACACTACACTCAACTGGAGAAGAAAAGATGAGATCTGCTAAATATTCCTAACCCAGGTAAAAAAACCCCAAACACATGAAAAAATAAACCATTTCAGTTTGGGTCAAAAAAACCCTTTCATTCAATATTTTTCACCATTTTCAACAACCTGACATGTTTATTTTGTCTCTCTTCAAACAAAAAGCCAATTGCACATGGAAAACCACACAGTCTGGTGTCAGAAATCCCAAAGCAAACACATGAATGAATTTATCCTCCCCCTACACTCCCCTAATACATCTTAGAATAGGAACATTCAAACTGACTTTTCCTGGGAACCTGCAGAACTCTTGTGTCAGCAGCTCAGCACTGCCTGGTGAAAACCCCACAGATTTCCAGCCTGTTCTGCCTGCTCTCACTTTCAATTACCCTTCCCCCAGCTTCTCCCTGCTCTGGCATCTGGAGCAGTTGTTTCCACTGATCAGGACAGGAGGGTTTCACACCTCATTTTTCCCAGGGTGTTTGGTTCCTGCTTAGTCTGTCCACCCAGGCAGTATTTTCTCCAACCCTGACAGCAGCAGCCTCGAAAGCCCTGCAAAAAGGCCAAGACCCTACAGCTTTTTATTTTCTGGTTTGTTCCCAAACGCAAGATACTGCACTAAAATAAGGGATGAAAATCTTCCTCCAAAGAGCAGCAAAGGAACACTGGCCCCCCGAGCACAAACACTCCTGCCAGCACCATTCCTGGATCTCCATTAAAACTCCAGGTTTTCTCTCCTGCAGGAATTTTGAGGCCCAGGGAATGGCTCTGCCCAAGAGATATGCCAAAACCCGCTATGATTTCACCGCACGAAATGCCAACGAACTCTCAGTGCAGAAGGATGAAATCTTGGAGGTATGTGAACACACTTGGTAAAAGGTGTGTCCTCCTCCCCTTTCCAGGGACAGGAGAGATCTCAGGATGCCAACAACCACCATCTCAGTTCTCCTGGGTGTTTTCTGAGCAGTTACACCAAGTTTTGCTCAAACCTAAAGCTGGAACAGGCTGACTGTGTGCATTGGGTCAGCTGAAATGTATCAGCCACATCTTAACTCCTATGAGGAGGCAGGAAAACTGTAGTACCCTGTTCACCCCTGGGCCTGTGTTTGATTGAGATCACCACTCCTCTCTCTTCAAGCAATTTTCTCTGAAAACATCCTTTTCCCTAACCTTTCTCCTACTTCAATGCTGTTGGCAGCTGGAGAATGTGGGACATGACTTGGGCTAACACTGATCTGTGGCCTGAGGAAAAGGTTCCTGTGCAAAGTGGAGCTATTTCTTTATTTTTATTGCAAAAAACAGTAACTCAGTCACTGGGGAAAGAAAAGGAGAAACAGGCAAATTAAGTAGGAACTATGAATTCTTCATCACCCAGAGGTGCTCTCCTATTCATCCTGATGCTTTCCAGGAAAGGCCTGGATTGGCCCTGAGAGCTCCAGACAGCTGTGATGTTTTTCTGGCAACTTCAGCGGGGCCCATCTCCACTATATCCTGGTCTTGTGTGCCAGAAATCCCATGTTCCCACTGGCAGATCTATTTCTGTCCTTCTCTCAGGTGTTGGAAGATAACAAGCAGTGGTGGAAGCTGCTCAACCGGAGTGGGCAGGCTGGTTATGTCCCTTACAGCATCCTGGATGTGGTCAAACTGGAAGAGCTCGAACAGGTCTGTACTCAGGTGATACTGACTGGCACTAGCTGCAAGGCACAATTAGCCTCTGGGAATAATCTTGCCATGAGACCTCCCTGAATTTCTTAGGATGCTGGGCACAAGTCAGGATGAACCCTCTCAAGCAGACTAACCAGGATCCTGGAGATTCCTGAGTCCCCTAAGATAAAACTCTCATATTTTGCCATGATCACCTTCCCCTTTCCCAAACAAGGCCTATCCTTCCCATCCATGCAGCAGCCTCATGTTTTCCATAAAGCAAATTTTGCCATGAAAATGCTGAGGTTTTTCTTGGGAGTTAAATTGAAGACAGACTCTTCCCTCAGCCAGTTCAGTTCAGCAGCAGGAACATGTTACTGGAGTGGAGGCAGATGGAAACACCTTCCAAGTGAGTATTAAGTGAATATTGCGCCTTGCAGTACAAAAATATGTGGAGCTGGAATGCTCTAAATCCCCTAAGGAAGCACAGAATTGCCTCCCCACTTTGGTATTGCAGAGTTTGGGCAAAGCATAAGGTGGCCCAGCAGGCCTGTGGGTAAATCTCTGTTAGTTTCATCTAAATGTCAAAGAAACTCTTTCCAGACTGCTCCAGGCCCTTGGAAGTGGTCCCAGTCAACATCCAGTTACAGAGCAGTGAGGCTTTGCCATCCTATGGGATTCTGTTTGTTCTCTCTTCATGTGAAGATCCTTTTGCTTCCCAAGGAATTCCTGTGAGCAGTAATTTCTGCATAGCAAGAGGCTACAGGGCCAAGTCACATGTGTGACAGTAGTCACCTGCAGCAGCAGCAACCATCAAACATTATTGTAATGGTCATGACATGTTTTCCAGGGCTGAAAATTCCCTCACACGATCTTCAGCCTTTGGTTTGAGTTGTTCATTCCTGTGAGATCCCCAGAAATTAACTTCTTCCATGCAGCTCCACCTGAGGACTCAACAACTCCAGATGACCATAGGGAGAACATGGTAGTTTGTTCCTCCATGGATGAGAGGCAAAAAGTGTAAGAAAACAAAACATGGCAAAAAAAAAATTCTTACACCTTTTTCTTCCCCTTTCTACCCAGTCTAACCAGTGGTACAAAGGAGACCTGAGCCCCAGGGGCTATGGACCATCCAGCCCAACTCACAAGATGCCTGCCAGCTACGCCGGGGATAAATGGGGCAGTGAAATGCTGTCACGCAACTCCACACAGGACGCCAAAGAACGTATGTGTCCTCACTGTGCTCCCCTGGCTTGGGGTGCTCTGTGCACCCACACCTACCCAAGGTGTTCCCTCTCAACTGCAGCTTTTAGTACAAGCAATAGACCAGCAGTGGGTTTGGAGGAGATTGCAGGTAGTACAGGAGCCAAGAGCACAGCCCTGGAGGTCACTGACTCACCTCAGGCAGCCTGGGACAAGCAGGGCAATAAAATGAGCACCCAAACCCTCCTTCCAGCCTGACCTTCCTCCTCTTCCCAAGGACAGAGTTTCTTTCCCCCACCAAAACATTGAAGTGTGTCTAAGCAACCACACACACATAGGTCAAGCCCTTTCCCTTGCTTCCTTTGCTCATCTCCTGCCACGCATGCAGCACCCTCATGGCCTCTTTCTTCATGTGGTTCCAGAGAATTCCCAGCCAAGTAGGAGATCCACATCATTCCCTCACCATGGGCATGCTATGGGGTCACAGAGCAGGAGAGAGATCAGGGCCCTGCTAACCTCATCCCCTTATCCCACTGTGGGCTCGTGGATGCAGGAGTCCTTTTGGAATGATGGAAAGCCCCAGAAGAGCATCACAGAAACTCATCTATTAATAACACTGAGTTATTCTCTACAGCCTTTGGGAGTTTTGTGGAAAAAGTGATACTAGATAATGTGTCACTGCAGATTCGTGAATGTGCTGCTCCCTCCCAGTTCACGCTTCCTGTCACTTCTGCTTAGCTCTGGAGCAAAACCTGGAGCTCTGAGGACTTGGATCAGCAAGTTCCTTACTAGAAGTAGCAGAGAGGATTGAAAAGAACTCAAACCTATATCTCTAACTGTAGATCCTTTCAGAACTGTCCTTCCACATCAGGCCACAGTGAAGGGGATGAGAGGAAAATCAGTGGCAACACAGGGACACAGGAAAATGGGAAGCTGGTTCTCAGAAACACAGTCCTGCTCCCTGACCTCTGCTGGGTTTTCCCCACCTGCTGCTAAGGCTGTAGGGCAGTTTCCTTATTTCAACAGCCCAAAGGGAACTAAGTAGCTCAAAACCAGGAAGATGACAAACTGAAGCAAAAACCCAACAGCAACACCAGACATCAGGGAAGAGGGACCATGTCCCTTGTCACCATTTGACAGCACTGGTGGGAGCAAGGACACTGCCAGGTCAGGTTTTACACCCTCAAGTAAACTTGTGCTGCTGGTGGTGTGGGGTTTTGTGTCCTTTGAATGAGGGGTGATGAACAGGGTAGGTTAGAAACATGAGCAACCAGACTGGTTTCAAGGTAAATTTGTCTATAAAATGGGTGAAAATGATATTTTATCAGAAAAAAAGACCTTAAAGCAGCTTTTTAGAACATTTGGCTGTTATTTTGTGATCCTTCTCCATCACTCTGAACTGCAGAAATCCCAGTTCTCCCAAAGAGAAAGAGAGATTTCAAAAGCTGAAGGGAGACTCTTGGCTTGGGAGGAAAGGGGAGATTCCCCCAGTTTGCTCCAGCACTCTCCAGCCTCCAAACCCAAGGAGGTGTCCATGTACACATTTGTTCCATATGGAATTTTGAGGGTCAGAATGTCATCACTTAACCTATTGTTCTAACAAAGCACTTCAGCTTGTTCTTAAGAACTAAGACACAAAAGCACTTTCCTGAGGTATAATCACAGAGGTAATAAAAATGCTGAGCCACATTCTGATGTTCTTAAAAATTCCCAGAAAAGCATATTGATTGAACAGGATTTCTGACTGAGGACTTGATTTCATTCCCTATGTATTTCTGCAGAACTTATTCACCATATGGATGAGCTGAATGATGAGCTGCTAAAGAAGATCACAAACAATAAAATTCAGCCTCCTCACAGGAATTTCAAAGTGGAAAAGCCTCAGCAAGTGTATGTGCCCCTCACCTTCGAGTCCAGCCCCAACGAAGTCAGAGCTTGGCTGGAGGCAAAGGGATTCAGCAAAGAGTAAGAGCTGCTTTCTTGCCACATGCACTGCTGATCCTCTATTGGGAAAGGAGTGGAGGAGGGAGCTTGCAACATCTCAACTGGGTGACAAGTCACTTGTATTTACTTACAGAACCTGTGTTGCAAATTAGATTTCAATCTTGTTAAATCTAGGCTCTAGAACCAGGATGTTCAGAGCCCGAACTCACTCTCTTTCTTCCTTATATCTATTTTCATGGAGAAAAATAATTAACTAAAGCCACAGCCTGAAATACAACTGGAATTGCAGCTGCCACCTTGGCACAGCCCCAGGGGTAGTGATATGGTCCTGTGCAGGGGTTTCACCTCAGCAGCTCCCAGCCCTCTTGTCTCTGCCTGATCACCTTTGGCATGAGGCACAACTACCTTCTCCTCACTTTGTGTCTTCCCAGGACAGTGCAACACCTTAGCATCCTCACTGGAGCTCAGCTCTTCTCCCTTCAACAGAGAGGAGCTGAAGAAGGTGTGTGGTGATGAGGGAAACAGAGTATACAGCAAGATCACAGTGGAGAAAACCATGCTG